TGGGGGGGGGAGGGAGGGAGGGAGGGAGGGAGGGAGGGAGGGAGGGAGGGACCCACCTGGCTGGGAGAGAGAACAGGGAGAAGAAAAAGGGGAACATGATCAGGTTGTGGGGAGGGGGGTGAGGGACAGGACTGAAGCTCTTGAGGGCCAGCAGAAAGAATGGAAACAGACAACCTTGGAGGAGATGGGCCCTCTAGAATGTACCAAAGACTGGGAGGTAAGAGACTCTCAGGACTCAAAGGGTGGGACCTTGGATGAAATGACCTATAGTGGGGAAAGGAAATTGGTAGAGTCCAACTCCGATAGAAAGACATCAAGTGGAGGGATGAAGTTGCCATCACACAGTCAAAAACTCTGACCCAGAATTGCTCCTGTATAAAAGAACGGCAGGAACACAAATGGAGAAGAACCTGAGGAAAAGGAGGTCCAATGACAGGCCCAAATTAGGATCCAGCTCAGGGGGAGGTCCAAGGCCTGACACTATTACTGATGCTATAGTGTGCTTACAGACAGATTGCAGCCTAGCATGGCTGCCCTCTGAGAGGCCCAACAAGCAGCTGGAAGAGTCAGGTACAGATACTTACATCCAACCAATGGACTGAAGTCGGGAATTGCTGTGGATGAATTAGGGAAAAGCTGGAAGAAGCTAAGGAGCAGGGTGACCCCATAGGAAGACCAGCAGTCTCAACTAACCTGGACCCTTGAGATCTCTCAGACACTGAGCCATCAACCAGACAGCATACACTAGTTGGTCTAAGGCCCCCAACACATATATAGCAGAGAACTACCTGGTCTGGCCTCAGTGAAAGAAGATGCACCTAACCCTCAAGAGATTTTGAGGGAATGGGGAGATCTGATGAGGTGGGTAGAGTGGGTGGGGACATCCTCTTGGAGATGGGAGAGGAGGTATGGGATGAAGAGCAGTGAGAAGGCAGACTAGAAGGAGGATAATGACTGGACTCTAAAAAAAGATTAAATAATGATAATAATAATAATAGCTGGGCAGTAGTGGCGCACTCCTTTAATCCCAGCACTTGGGAGGCAGAGGCAGGCGGATTTCTGAGTTCGAGGCCAGCCTGGTCTACAGAGTGAGTTCCAGGACAGCCACGGCTACATAGAGGAACCCTGTCTCGAAAAACTAAAAAATAAATAAATAAATAAATAAATAAATAAATAATAATGATGATGATGAAATTAATATAATAAAATAAAGTTTTGTGCAGAGTGAAAAAAATTAATATGCTACAGTCCTCTGATGGCTTCGGATAACTGGCAAGTCTAGTCAGAACCATTTCTCCTTCCCTTCATGGCACTAGGGAGCAGCCCTAATTTCTGAGAGTGGAACTGAAGGAGCACACTGAGAAATAGAAATTATTTCAAAGCCTTTCTTTTTAATCTTAAAAATTTGAATTTTTTGTAATTTTTCTAATATGCTACAGTTTAGCAAGAAAAATCCAAGCTTGGTCCTCAAATCTCGAAATAAAACTGATTCGGAAAGACAATATCTCTGTGTGGTTCTGTATTTGTCCTCCCTCCATTCTCTGTTCTGATATGAAAGCTGTGAATTATATGCCTCATGGTTCTAAGTGTTAAAAAGGGTCTCACCCAGTTATTACAGATCTAATAAGTATAGAGCTCAAATGTTTAGAGCCGAAATGTTTTAGAATGCTGGTCTGACTCCATTTTATAAATAAGAGCTAAAATCCTACGACAGTTAGAACTGAAATTCATGAGCCCTAACTAATGATAGCTGAATAGTGTGGAGGTAAACTTAAGAGGATTTTGTTTAAAGACTAGAAGAGTTATACTGAGGGTCCTACAAATACATCATAATGAAATATAAAGCGAATAGTTCAAATGCCCAGTGATAGGAGATTGACTGAAATATGGCGAGGAGGCAGGGGGATGGCTCAGCAAGTAAAAATGCTACTGGTGCAAACCTGAAGACCTGAATTCTGTCCCTGAATCTGACAATAGAAGGGGAAAAAAATCCAGGAAGTTGTCCCTCTGGCCTGAACTTGCAGATGTATCACAATCACATGAATAATAATAATAATAATAAAACTTCTTAAATCGTGGTTAAACTTTGTAAGAAAATATTATTGCATCATCAAATACTCACATCATAACTAAAGAATTATGCAGTTGGACCTCTGTATCTGCAGGTTCCACCCATGGCTGGATGAATCCAAAATAAGTGAAATTATCTGGAAACAAAACCAAAACAGTACATCTGCAACAAACTTGTACAGATTTATTTTACGTAAAACTGAGTAGAAGACTATAAATTAAAAAAAACAGCTGCTAGTGATTTACTATGATAGAATTAATGGAGATAATTGTACCTCTAAATAAACATCCTAGGAGCTGGAACACTTTAAAGTATTTGAGTGCCACGTGGGCATGGTATTCTGCCTGTAAATCCAGCTCTGGATGATGGGGCCAGAAGATTCTTAAAGCTGGCCAACTAGACTGTCCAAACTGGCAAGCTCTGGCTTTTGAGTGAGAGACCCTGCTTCAAGGAGTACAATGGAAGAGCAACTTAAGAATATTCCTAGTATCAGTCGGGGACCTCCATATGCATGCTTAAACAAGTACATGTGAACACACACATAGCATATCACATATGTACCTCACACACATAAAAAGAAAAAAACTATGTACGCATACATACATGTTCTAAGCCTTACTGGATGCTCCAAATACAATGAAACAAAAATCCTAATGTATATGTTGGGCCCTAGACTGGATAGTGGACTAGATTTAATGACCTGTGAAGAGAAGATAACTTTGGATTCTGGTCATGTCTTTACTCTCTGTATTAATCTACTTAAATTAGTCCATTACTTTGTATATGTACTTCACCTGTTTTTATTTGAAGAGTACCTTGTGGTAACATTAAACAAGGTTCATGTGCTCTTATAATATTTGCCAGATACTTTTACTAACATAGGAAGCGGATTTCATCACCTCTGCAAGTTGACCCAGCTGTGGCGGTGCACATCTCCACACCGCAAAGGGAAAAGACTGGAGAATTGTAAGCTCAAACCAACAATGGACTGCATAATTAGTTCCAGTCTACCTTGGGCTACATAGTGAGTCCCTGTCTAATAATACAATAAATAAAGTGTTGGCTTGAGAGATTACTCATTGAGACAGTGCCTGCCTAGTATGTGTG